TGTCTGTATGAAGTAAGCATAAGTTGTAAAATTTTTGAAAGATTGAAATTATTACATATTTTAAAATTTTGCATGAGTTTTTTTACAAAAAAAAAGAAAAAATGATTATTTAATTATATTTAAAATACAAAGAAAATTTTTATATTTGTAGGGTTCCTATTATCTCTGGTGCTATGAACAGATTTAAGAGACAAAGTTCTCTGTTAGAAGACGATTTATATGATGATAATCTCGCTTCTAAAAGTAATCAAACATTTGATGAACCTGTCGTTCATGTTGATAGTAATATATATTGCAGCATAATTGAGAGTTTACGGAAGGGTTGCCTTTTGTTTAGTATATTGGATATATGGGATTTTGATAGTGCTAAAATTGCAAAAGATTCCACAGAAGAAATTATTACAAAAATAAATACAGTAAAAGTGAGTCCCACATTGGGTTACACTATAAATTTCAGTGAGCTTCTGGGAAACGTAACTCTAGATGAAAAAAATAGAATTATTGCTGCGACAGCTATAAGGACTGATCTAATAGTTCATGTTAGTTTTTTCAATGTGGACATGGATAAAATTGGAAATAATGCGGGAACTACTGATATGGTACGTAAGAGAAGTTTATACGTATTTAAACTTGAATATATTTTAAATAATAAAAATCTAAACAAGATTTCCAGAATTAAGAATAGAAGTAAATAAGGCAGATGGAAATTGGCGCAGTTATTTGTACGTAAATTGCAATTTTAATCATAAGCTTTATTCTCGCATAAGATGTCAGATTAGTTTCGGCTATTCTTTTTAGCCATCCTCAGTAATAATTGCTAACTCTCGCTCGTTTTCTTATTAAATGTGCATTCTTCCGCAGTTGGTGGGCAAGGAAGCAGTTGTCAATACATCCAACTGCTGTCCATGCAGGTAAAGGGCTGCATGGTCAAATTGTATGTCCTTCAACGCAGTAAGACACATACTCTACATAGTTTTAACGATAAAATAATAATAAATAAATAAATAAGTAATAAGTGTATAAATTGTGATCAGAAATTAAAAATTAAAAAGATAAAAATGACTTGATCAAGAGATAAAACTTATTTCGTAACAGAACTGTACACGTCAATGTTCGTGCGAATAATGAATATCATTACTGGCCACATCATTTTTATCTTTTTAATTTTACGAATAATGAATATTATTCGCACAAACATTGATGTGTACAGTTCTGTTACAAAATAAATCTTATCTCTTGGTCACATTATTTTTATCATTTTAATTTTTAATTTCTGACCACGATTTATACACTTTTTTATTACTTATTTATTTATTTATTATTATACAATTTTATCATTGAGATTATGCGGAGTGTGCGTTTTACTGCGTTAGAGGATAATTGATCATACAGCCCTTCAACTGCATGGACAGCAGTCGGAAATGTATTGAGAACTGCTTCCTCGCCCACTAAAAAGAACCTGCGAAAGAATATGCATTTACATAATAAGAAAACGAGCGAAAGTTAGCAATTGTTACTGAGGATGGCTAAAAAGAATAGCAGAAACATCTGACATCTTATGTGAAAATAAACCTTATGTTTAAAATTGCAATTTGCGTACTAATAACTGCGCCGATTTCCATCTGCCTTCTTTACTTTTATTTTAAATATATTTCTTAATGATTGCCTTTGAATAAATATCACGTAACATTTTAAAATTTATCATAAAAAAGATATTTTATTGAAGATAATTTGAAGATAAAAGAAAATAAATTAAAAAAAAATTGTTTTATATACTTTTAAAATAATTTAGGTATTTTATTATCACAGTCTATCATGAATTTTTACTAAGATAACAATTTCATTTAATAATAACATATTCAAATCATCAAAATATGATTATTCTTATTTTAATTGTTATTACATATGTTTGATAAAGTTTAAATTACATTTAAATTGCATTTAAAAATTATTTCTTTAAATATAATTAAATTCTAAAATATATAAATTATTTATTTAAATATACCATAAATTTTGTAACGTAAAATTTTTACATTTTAACTTTAAATTAAATATTTATTTTATTCAAATATAAGAAATAAATATAATAAGTAATAACTAAAACCAAATAAGAGGTAAATTATTGCTAATAATTTTATTAAATTATCATATTTTTATTGTAATATTTCTATTGTAATAAAAATATTAATAATTATATATATGTATATATGTATATACATATATATTTAGGGTGGGCCAAAAAAAATTGTTTTTAAAAATCAATTAGTAATACCCCTCAAAAGTTAACTATGAACCTCAATATGGTCTGGGAAAATTTCATCGAAATCGACTAATATCTTTAGGTTGCTCCTTGCAATTAATCATGTTTTGATAATTTGAATATGTTGTTATTCAATGAAATTGTTATCTTCGTACAAATTCATAAGAAACTGTGATAATAAAGGCCTAAATCATATCTGCAAAAGTATGTAAAAAATTAATAATTCCGCTAATGGGTAGAGACTAAACTGAATAGGAAAGTTCTGTATCATTTTACGATTCTCGCAATAATTAATGATGAGATATTAATTTATAAAGGTCTTCTAATCAGCGTGCATTTGATGACTAGAAATAGCCCAGCAATTTCTTGACGGCCGTGGCATGGCAGTGAGAGGAGTGCTCTATAAAAAAACAATGATTATTTACGAGCGGAACATTTTTGTTTTCAGAGTGCTTTTCTCAATGCATTGCCACGCACTAGTAAACTGTAAATGCTATCGCATTACCTATAGGTATAAGTCTCTTATCGCCGAATCGCGTGAATGGACGCTAATTCATAAATTTATATAAATTATTATATATTGTTAACTATTGCAAAAATCACAAAATCACATGGTATAAAACTTCTCCATCCAGTTTAGTCCATTCTACTTGTATATTATACACATAAACTTAAAATCAGATACTGTACATGCGCGCGCACACGTGTGTGTGTTTGTTTTATATATAAATTACTCAGAATTTTATTTTACTTTATAACATTAAATCTAACTCGTATAATGAACAAATATGTATATATGTAGATATATAAATTAATTTAGAACAAAAAACTAATCGCCTATACTTAGGCAACAGATGAAGTATTGAACTGGGAATCAGCTTATCTGGAAAAACTGAAAAATCTTTCGTACCAATTGCAAACCGAGAGAAATACAAATGATTCTTTGATGCTTTATTACGACGCTGGTAGAAGTTTTGGAGATATTTCCGGCGAAAACATATTTCGAGATGTGGATAAATTATGTGTGGGAATTTTCATATGTTTTTGGTACATTTTAATAATTGCATCCAATTACAATTGGGTAGAATGGCGAGTACGTATAATTATTACGAGAGTAATAATTTCTAGATGATTTGCTACTTGTATTTAGTGAAAATTCATTTTTCTACAGATTTATCTTACTAGTATCGGTCTTTTGAGCGTGAGTGCTGCATTTATATTTGCGACGGCAATATGCTCTCTAATTGGAATTCCATACGGGGTTGTGCACACAACGTTACCATT